TCCACGAAGCACTATTGTAACATGGTAACACCATAGCAATGCTAATGCTCTCACGTGGGACCTATCAAAACCAAATACCAGCAAATCCACAAAAAAGGCCCCACGTATATGACTATGTATATATAATATATAAATATAAATTTATATATATATATAAAAGACAAACCAGTCATAATATCTCTTGTTTGTCAGCATCAAAAGAGCCCCACCATGCTCTACACGTACACCCAAAAACTTGCTTTACAGCTGCCAAAAACCATGGGCCAAGCAAACCCACGTGCAATACTATCCCCATGTACAACCGACAGCAGCACACAAACCTGTTCAAACCTCAAACCTCAGTAGACTAGGCGGGAAGCTCACCTTTTTGAGCTCACGCATATACCAATCCGTGAAGTACACGCCCAACAACACCAGACCATACCAGCGGCGGATTAGCCCTCCCCGGAGCACCAAACCCATTACGAACCTAGTAACATCTGGAGAAGGTGTAACCGACACCAAAGGCAACAACCACCGCCGGTAACTTGACCCATCACCGCCGGAGTATAACCATTTCGTTCTGCAGAATCATCCATGATGTAATACGGACGCAGAAAAGAAAATATATCCAACCAGCAGCTATGCACCTCGGAACAGCGATAAGCCCGCCAGTATCTGCTCACTGTGACAATGGCACCGGAAGACCAGTACCAAGTTTTGCTTGTGTTCCATTGCCAAAGCTGGACAACCCAATAATGGTGAACCCATGACCGGAACGCCAAACAGTGGACAGAACACCAAACAAGCATCATTTCCGCCGGCAAACAACCAGAACTAGAGGGAGAGGCACACTCAACCCTCCGACAAACGAACACGCACGCAAAACCATTACCAAAGCAGAGTAAACTCTCGCCGTAGTGGAACGCCGGACAAGAGTCAGACCCCAGCGTCGGTTATTGGAATCTAGCTGGATCCACACTCAAACACCAAAAGTCACTACCCCATATCCGATGGATGAAATCCATCTCCATGGATGGTGAAAACATGGAGAGCCCACCTCCACTAAACACCATAATCTAAATAAACTGTAACCTCACAAAAATCATGCAGAAGACATGCTCACTCACACTCATATAAGTGGGTGGAGGAGCTAACCAAGCTGGCCAGAACTGCACCAGAATCACCTCCGGGGGGAGCTTTCTCTCTCTAGATTCTAGAGAGAGAATAGAGTTCTGGTTAATGAGGCTTGGTTGGACAAATTTCCTGAGGCTACTGCCCAGTTTCTCCCCTCTGGTATTTCTGACCACTCCCCTGCAGTGGTCAATATCAGTGCCACTAAGTGCTCTTTCAAAAAACCTTTCAAATACTTTGATTTCTGGTCTCAACATCCAGATTTTCTGGGTACTGTTTCTAACACCTGGGGGCAGTACATTCAAGGGGTTCCTATGTTCAGGGTCTGTCAAAAACTCAGAAAGCTTAAAGCTAGTCTCAAGCTTCTGAATAAGAAAGACTTTAGTGACATATCTACTCGTGTTCAAATTGCAAAAACTAATCTGGATCTTATTCAATATAAACTTGACAAAGACCCTTTGAATAGTGTTTTGCAAGCCCAAGAGAGAGAGGATCTGAATAAGTATATTGAGCTTAGCAAATTAGAAGAGAGCCTTGCTCTTCAAAAATCCAGAGTGCAGTGGCTTGGTCTTGGTGATAGAAATAGCAAATTCTTCTTTAGGTCTGTGAAAAGTAATATCAATAGAGGGAAGATTTTGAGTGTTGTCATCGGTGATGGTTCTAGGTCTACTCATACTACTGATGTCCACACCTCTTTCATCAATTTTTATACCAATTTATTTGGTACCCCTTCTGTGGATCAGTACAAGGGCCTTGAGAGGATTCAATCTTTGGTGGAAAAAAAAGTCTCTCTCTCTCTCAATCTGTTTCAATGTCCAAGCCTGTTTCTGAAACTGAAATCAAGGAGGTTTTTTGGTCTTTAAAGTCCAATAAAGCCCCTGGCCCGGATGGGTATTCCGCTGGTTTTTTTAAGAGCTCTTGGGATATAGTTGGTAAGGATGTCATTCTAGCTATTAAGTCTTTCTTTGACTCTGGTAAACTTCTTTCTGAGGTTAACAGTACCATTATAGCTCTTATTCCTAAGGTTCCTAATCCTACTCATGTTGGTGACTATAGACCCATCTCTTGTTGTAATACCATCTACAAGTGCATTGCCAAGATCATAGCTAATAGAATTAAATTGGCCCTCCCTGATTTGATTGATCCTGTGCAGTCTGCGTTTGTTCAAGGTAGAAGGATCTCGGACAACATTTTCTTGTCCCAAGAGATTATGAGAGGTTACCATAGGAGTTCCCACTCCCCTAAGTGTGCCATGAAAGTTGATATCATGAAAGCTTATGATACTGTGAGATGGGACTTTATCATTGATATCCTCAAAGCTATGGCTTTCCCTCCTTGTATGATTACCTGGATAAAGGCTTGCATCACGAGTCCTTCTTTCTCGATTTGTATTAATGGGAGCCTTCAGGGGTATTTTAAAGGGGCGAGGGGTTTAAGACAAGGGGATCCTATGTCCCCGTATCTCTTTGTGTTGGCCATGGAAATTCTTGCCAGAATTCTTGCTGAGAAATCTAGGAGCCCTTTGTTCAAATTCCACTGGAGGTGTGAGAAAACTAAAATTGTCAACCTTTGCTTTGCTGATGATTTGATGATTTTCAGTAAAGGGGACCCTGGTACTGTTTCTCTTATCATGCAGGGATTGGATGAATTTAGGAATCTGTCTGGTCTTACCCCTAATTCTAGTAAGAGTAACATTTTTTTCTCGGGGTGTAGTAGTGAGCTTAAAGAGAATATTCTTCGGATAGCCAATTTTACTGAGGGCTCCCTCCCAGTGAAATACCTTGGTGTGCCTCTTATCACTACCAAGCTTAAAGCATCTGATTGTCATACTCTGGTTGAGAGAATTACTAAGAGGATTAAAAGTTGGACCAATAAACTGCTTTCCTATGCTGGTAGAGCTCAACTCATCCAGTCTATTCTATTTTCTATGCAAGTGTACTGGTCCTCTCTTTTTATCCTCCCTAAGAAAATCATTGGTGACATTGAGAGCCTCCTTAGATCTTTTCTTTGGTCTGGGGTTGAGTTGAAGAAACATAGTGCTAAGATTGCTTGGAGATATATCTGCAGGAAAAAAAATGAGGGTGGCCTTGGTTTCAAAGACTTAGCTACCTGGAACAAGGCTGCTATAGCCAAACATGTTTGGTACTTGTTTTCTGGGGGTGATTGCTCAATGTGGTGCCAATGGGTCAAGGCTTACTTGCTTAAAGGGAGGAGCTTTTGGGCTGTTAGAACTCCTAGTGATCCCTCATGGGTTTTATCTTTTTGGACATATCTGTATGATTTGTGGATAGGTTTTTTTTTTTTTAAAGGGAATTTTATTGAGGGAAGAAATGAAAAATAATGCATGAATGTTGAGATTTTTGCAAATATGTCGTTGAGCTTCTGTTCATAGCCCTTATACTTTGGAAATTGTTTTCTGCTTTACTTTTTTGTTATTGATATATCACAAGGGTTGACAAATAGGCTGCTGTAGAAATGCGGAGAAAAAAGGTTTTCATATTTACCTTCACATGATAAATTTCAGATTGTGAGGCTGTGTTCATCATTTTCAATCTGTATTTCCCCACCCTCAGTTAATACATCTTCCTGCTATCCATTTTTGTATTATCACTGTAGTTATAAGCTCATGTTATGACATGATTCCTATCTACCATTGTTCAGTGCCACAAAACTTGGCTGCCTTACTGGCCATTCTTTAAAATTAATGTTGCAGGAATGAATGAATTTCAATGTGACGGAGGAGAATGATCGAATTCTGAGAAGGAATATGATAATTAACCACAGACAAGACATGAAGCCACAGTCAATATTTGAAAAACAGGATATGTTCGCATATTGTATACATACTTACATATGCATGCATGATTTTTATGTGAAACATAGTAATTATTACTCTTGTTTTTTAGCAAGACCTTCATTGTTGCTCAAGCAAGGTAGCTACTAAACTATCTGAACAACTCTTTTCATTGTATTATTACTTTTATTATTATGACACTTGTATCGAAGGCATTTGGCGATGTATCTATTAGCAAACACATGTCATAATGGGGTAAACGAAGGTTGCCTTGTTCTAAATGGTGGAAGGTTATAGAAGATAAGGATTCCTATGTTTTCAGACCCGGGGTAGATTAGTCTGAATATGTGATATAATTTTGGAAGTATAGTCTCATTGGTATAATTTGTGGAGTGGTTGTCTATTGTCTCTCTATGACTTGCCAATCTGGCAATGCAGAGAGGGTGGTGATCTTTCTATCCTAAGACCAATAACATGTTATTGTATTTGTGGAGTTAGAGGTAAAAGGATTTTACCACATTAGATTAAATAACAGAACAAAATACCAAAATAGGCAGCAAATTGTATTTGATTGGCTTTCCAGCATTCTTCCTACATAAAAAATTTGAGTACAATTTTCCTAAGTTCATACTCGACCTATTGATTAATCAGGCAAGTTTTCTCTGAGTTGTGTTTTGATTTTAGCCCACGAAGATAAATATTTCCCAACTAAAACTCCCCACAGAAAACGAATTACTGGACTCCTTAAAATCACTAGCATTTTCTCTTGGACCATGGATATGGGAAAAAAATATTTATCCCTTTATTTGCAATTACAGTCTTGCTCTATAATTAAAAAAAGAGAGAAGACAATTGTCGTATTGTTCAGAGGAGTGAAATACTCTGGTCTTCTTCAATACTCTGCAACCTTTTGTAGTTGTGATACTTTTATGAAGGTTAAGAATGGCTCCATTTGGTATATAAACTGCAACATCGTGTGGAGTATATTTTGTGTTTGGAAGTGACTGTGAATGTGATGTAGAATAAAAAAATCAAGTAGTCTTAATAGTGTATTTGGCATTCTTTGTTAGTTTCGTTTGTTGATGTTATATCTTTACAACAGGCTTATCAATCAAGCATGTTGAAGGCATTTAAAAAGACCCTTGATGAGGGGGTTTTCTCCCTTGTAATTGGTAAGAATTTTCTGTGGTGAAACTGCCAGATTATTTTAAAATTGAAAGCTTTATATTAGTTTTTTAAGTGTTCATATGTCTTTCCACCCATCCCCCCTTGTTTTGTAGCTGTTCATAATGTTTTGGCATTTGCATTGTTAAGATCTTCATTTCTTTTGAGATCAAATCACTTGCATCTTTTGTTTAAAATTTTTGATGTATCAAGTGTCATGAATTCTTTTTATAATTTTTTGTTTGTTTGTTCACTTCTTCCAGTAGTGTTTTGCTATGTGGTGACTTTTGTCTCTCTTAGAGCTTATATGTGCTGATATTTTTGTATAGTTTGGGAAACAGGAGGGTTTTAAAAAATTTTGAAACCTTAGGCATAGTTAAAGAATTTGAGGAATGGTTATAGATCTAGTTTTCGTGTTGGTTCATCATGGTGTACAAGTTCAAAGATCTAGTTTGATTATAGATTAAGTGGTGATGCAGTAGTGCGTATGCACTGCCTTCATTTTCACTAACTACAGATGCAGTTCTTTTTGGCAATTGACCCACTTGTTGCTTGTATGTGTGCCTCGTCTTAGTGGATGACCGCAATCTGCGGGTAGCTGATTTTGCTCAGTTTTGGGCAACTGCAAAGGTATACCCTCAATTCTCTCTTTCTCAAAACCCCAGCGAGTATTTCTGTTCTCAATATATTGTTTTCTGAGGATTTAAAGGTCCAAGAGTCCACATCGTTGTATAGATTTCCTTCAGTTGGACACAATTTATTTTACATGCATCAATTAAATATTTTCAACAGTTCTTAATTTTTATTTATTTATTTATTTATATTTTTTGATCATCAACAGTATATTTGCTATGTATGTTGTAAATTTGACTTTTTTCTACACATGATTATATTTTTTCATTTGCTGTCTTCAATACATAAAAGTGATGTCGTAATGAGCTGGAATCCTAGAATAGTACTTTCTTATAGGAGAGGTAAGCAGAACAGTATGGCATGAGAACTTTGTATTTAGTTATCAACTCAATTAGAAGGGGGATATTTCCCTTAACATTTACGTTTGTGGTGGTAACACTCTTTTATTGTTCTTGGCCATTGACTGATAATGTTCTTTCTTATTTTTGAACTCTATAAGATATCCTAAGCAGTTAGAGGTTTATTGGGTGATCTGATTACTTGAATCCTTTGTTCTCTCTTGGAAACAAATGTTCATTGTTTATGGATCAAGGGTTTTTTAAACACTTTTTCATTAAAATTTTTTTTATAGCTGGGTGTCCGGGCTAGCTTGCGTGCACCTCGACTAATCTCGGGGCCTTGAAGTTAAGGACCAGGTAAACCTACAGTGGCCCCTTGGTGACTCGAACTCAAGACCTTGGATTTTATCCTCAAGTGTCTTCCGCTCGGCCAACCCCTTGGGGTTGGGGGTTTTTTAAACACAATAAAACCTTTCTGGAGGGAGCTTATTTTTCATATGTGCTTTTGAGATCTCTTCAGCTGATTTGCCTATGTCAGAACCTGTGTCTTTCTACTAGACTGTGTGCTACTACTTGTGCTGCTTGTACCAGTACTCTTATTGTTGCTTTTATGATGCTGTTTCAACTATGGAGTGCTTGCTTGACATACTGTTGTTTATTATTTGCTTTGCTTGTTTTCAGAGATCTGGTTATGAAGTTTACCTTTTAGAAGCTACCTACACGGATCCAACGGTGAGTATATCTCTCACATACTAGTACTTTGATTATAAGATTATAAATTTGTGCCAATATAGGTTTTGGAATGCCTAAAAATGTTCCAGCACATGTTTTTACTTGCACAAAATTGCAATTTTCTTTTCTTGACATTGTTAAATTGAATGTGTTTACCTGTGTAATGATAGAAATTGGACATAATTTATTTCCCAAAATGTGGAAAATTCATAAATATATATATTTTCTTTGTGGAATTCTAGGGTTGCGCAGCTCGAAATATACATGGTTTCACCCAGGATGACATACAAAAGATGGCTAGAAAATGGGAAGAAGCTTCGTCATTGTACTTGAAACTGGACATCAAGGTTTATTTTAATTAGGTTACATTTTTCAATTTTTGGTATGGGTACTGAAAGTTTTTTTTTCAAGAGTTTAACCAATAACAGAAAAACACGAATTATAAGAGAAACTGAAATTAACTGTGCCAGTTTATGTTGGCTTAAAAGTTATAATCTTGGTTTTCACATACATTGACATATTTGCTTCAAATTTTGCTGGCATGGTAGTCATTATTCCACGGTGATGATTTGAAGGAAAGCGGGATTCAAGAGGTAATTTCATAGACTATATGCCATTTGAATGCTTTTATCTAGACTAGGAAAGTGCTTCTGAAGTTCTTGTTGATTAATATTCTTGAATAGCTAAAACAAGCTGTGGTTTTGATTCTTGTTGAAGAGAAGATTATATCAATTGTGGTTCACATAGATAGCAGATGGATCCTGAATTTTTTTCTCCCCCCACCCCCAATTTGTGGTTGTTTTCATTGCATTTCCAAGGACATTATTTGCATGGTACATAAGAGTGAAATAGGATAAAGATTAACTTTTATATTTTTTGGAGGTCTCAACACTTAGCTACTTCTCCCATTTCATTCCCACTTCCAGTACCTCTAAAATTGGTGATACTATGTTCCTAAATGTAATTGCTATGAAGCACAGACACCTCCCCGGGGCCTGCGTACGAGTGTCAGACACGCTGTGGACATGTGTCGAACACTCTCCCTAAGGTGTCCCCTTTTTTTTTTAATTTTTCCAATCTGACACACGATGGACATGCGATGACATGTTTTGGACACGCGTGAGGTGGATCGAAGAAGCCCTAACCCGTTGGGGAGAGAGAGAGAGAGAGAGAGGTCGATGAAGGAAGCCCTGAAGTTGTTCAAAAGAGATCAATTGAAGCACTGAAGCTGTTCAAAAGAGATCAATCCAAGGCCCTTCTGAGGTATTCTTTTTCTTCTATGTTCTCTTCTCTTCGTCTTCTCTGTTCTTCTTCTTCTCCTCCCATTTCTAATTTCGTCTCTCTTCCCTCCCTCTTTTGAATTTGCTTGTCTCCCTTTTTGCAATTTTGCCTCTCTTCTCTCTTCTGATTTCATTTCTCTCAGCTCTTGGTTTATTTGTTTTCATTTTTTTTTTTCCCGTTTCTCTCCCCTCCCTTTTTTTCCTAATTTCGTCTCTCCGCTCCCTTCTTTTTTCTTTTTTCTGTTTTTTGGTATCCTTGTTTTTGTTGAACCTAAATTCATAGAACAAATTATTTTTACTTGAAAAAAAAAATCAATTTTTATTAAAAAATTTTAGGTGATGTGTTTATTAATTTTATTATTATTGTAATTTTATAGGAATCAATGATTTTTTTTTATATTTTAAACGTAATAAATAAATAAAATTATATATATTAAATGTGTCCCCGGCGTGTTGTGTCCTCCATTTATTAAAAATTTGCATGTCCGCATGTCTGTGTCATGTCCCGTGTCTGTGTGTGTGCATCATAGTGTAGTTGAGATGAATTGAAGCTGCTTGTTCATTCTGTTTCATAAATATATATAGCCAATTCTAATTGTGGGTTATGTCACAACTTCTCTTCTGTAGATGAAGTTCTCCTATTTGAAAACTTACCTACTTCTCCCATTTCATTCCCACTTCCAGTACCTTTTAAATTGATGATACTAGGTTCCTAAATGTAGTTGAGATGAATTGAAACTACTTGTTCATTATATTTCATAAATATATATAACCAATTCTATTTGTGGGTTATATCACAACTTTTCTTCTGTAGATGTTCTCCTATTTGAAAAAATAAAAAATAAAAAATTTAAAAAGTAGGAATGACATTTGATTAGTCCAATTCTTAAAATTTCAATCGCAAAATTCATTTACTTCCAAAGCTTTAAGTAGTCTAAATCAATTCATTGCTTCTACTTTTCAGTTGCATTTTGACATGGATATGGAACCTAACAATGATTGTGGTTGGAAGCCAAAACTAGGAATGCCATTTGATTCAAAAGGTGTGTATTGTTTTTATAATGCATATGGAGAAAGAATGGGGTTTAGCACAAGAAGGGATTGTTGTAACAAGAACAAGTTTACTAAACAAATTATTTCTAGAGTTTTTGTTGACAACAAGGAGGGTTTTCGGAAGGTTGACAAGCGAGACCCATTGACAAAAAACTCTAGAGTTGAAACTAGCACTGGTTGTGAGGTCCAACTTTTTGTTAAATTGGATGTGGCTACTGGGAAATTTGTTGTGAGTAATTTCAAAGAACACAACCATGAACTTGTATCAGTAGATTGTGCCCACATGTTGCCATCGCAGAGAAAGATATCAGCTACAAAAGCTATTCAATTAGAATTGGCCTTACAATCTGGTCTTTGTTTAGATCAGTCTTTTGAACTCATGGGTAGGGAAACTGGTGGGAGGCAGTCTCTTGGATTTATGAAATTAGACCAAAAAAATTATTTGAGAACCAAAAGACAGAAAAGTTCAGCATATGGGGAGGGAGGTAATGTGTTGCAATACTTTCAACAGAAATCTTTGGAGAATCCATCTTCTTTTTTATGCTTTCCAGTTAAATAATGAGGAGCAAATAATATGTTTTAGGCCAGTGCACGAATGATCATGAATTATACCTAATTTGGTGATGTAGTTACATTTGATACTACTTACAAGTTAAATAAAGAGCATAGACCCTTTGCATCTTTTGTGAGATCAACCATCAAAGAGAAATAGTTGTATTTGGTGCAGTTTTGTTAGATAATCAGACGGCTGATTCTTTCGTATGGTTGTTTGAAATTTACTTAGAGGCTATGTCAAGAAAGATGCCAAAAACTTTGTTTAACAATCAAGATGTTGCAATGACTAAGGCCACACCCATTGTGATGCCTGACATTAGTCACTGATTGTGCACTTGGCATTTGATGCAAAATGCATTAAGGTATGTTAATTGTCTCTTCTAGGATAAGGGGATGAATGGTGTATTTTCAAAACTCATGTATAATATTGAGGATGAAAATGAATGGAAGTTAGAGTGGGGGGAAATGCTTGATAAATATGGTACTTGTGATAATCATTGGTTGAAATTGACTTTTGAGGTGAAGGAAAAATGGGGCTAGCCATATGTTAAATCAACATGGACTGCGGAAATAAGTAGCACACAACTCAATGAATCTTTTAATCAACTTCCATTCATTTTCATCCTCAATATCAAACAGGAATTTATTTAATACACCCTTAACCCCCTTATCTTGGAAGAGACAATTAACACGCTTTAATGCATTTTGCATCAAATGGGTATGGCCTTAGCCATTGCACCATCTTGATCGGTAAACAAAGTTTTTGGTGCCTTTTTAACATAGCCTCTAAAAAAGTTTCAAACAACCATACAAAAGTTTCAACGGTCTCATCATACAACAAAGCTACACTAAAAACAAGTGTTTCTCTACGATGATTGAATCCCACAAAAGATGCAAAGGGTCTATACTTTTTATTTAACTTGTAGGTAGTATCAAATGTAACTACATTGCTAAATTGGGTATAATCTATGATCATTTGTGCATCAGCCCAAAACATATTCGTTATTTGCTCCTCATTATCTAACTGGAAAGCATAAAAAATAAAACAAAAGAAAGACTGGTTCTCCAAAGATTTATGTTAAAAGTATTGCAACACATTACTTATCTCCCCATATGCTAAACTTTTTTTTCTTTTGGTCATCAAATACTTTTTTTGGTCTAATTTCAGAAACCTACGAGATTGCCTCCCACCAGCTTCCCTACCCAGGAGTTCAAAACACTGGCCTAAACGAAGACCAGATTGTGAGGCTAATTCTAACTGAATGGGATGTGTAGCTGATATCTTTCTCTGCGATGGAAACATGTGGGCATAGTCTGGTGACACAAGTTCATGGTTGTGTTCTTCTTTGAAATCACTCACAACAAATTTCCTAATAGTCACATCGAATTTAAGAAAAAGTCTGGCCTCACAACCAGTCCTAGCTTGAACTCTAGGCTTTTTTGTCAATGGTTCTCACTTGTCAACCTCTCGAAATCCCTTCTTGTTGCAAACAAAATTTCTAGAAATAATTTGTTTACTAAACTTGTTCTTGTTACAATATTATCTTCTTATGCTAAACTCCATTTTTCTTCCATATGCATTATAAAAACCATATGCACCTTTTTCCAAATCAAATGTCATTCTTACTTTTGGCTTCCAACCACAATCGTTGTCAGGTTCCATATCCATATGAAAATGCAACTGAAAATATAATTAACTGAACTTATATACTTTAAAACTAAAAATATAACTAACTATTTTAATTAAGGAGTGACTTGTCTTTTTCATAATGAACAGAACTTATATTCAATTGTTCTCCTATAATTGACCTTTAATATATGTGGAAAGTGATATTGTGAAATGCGTGTTAAGAAATTATGAAATTCTTGGAAATCATGATTTATCTTGAGAATATTGAAAGTTATTGGATTATGCTCTTAATATTGCCTTATGCTCTTCTTAATATTGCCTTATTGGAATATTTTGATAGAGATGATTATTTTAGCAATTGGTGGAGGATTGCATTGATCTATTGTAGAATTGATATGGAATTAGGATAACTGAAACTCTTTGGAAAAGCATGCATTGCATTGATATATCCTTGATTTTTTATTATTATCTCTAATCACATTTTGAGAAAATGTGTTGTGTTGATCTACTTTCTTGACCTCCTTATTAGCCAATCTATAGCTCTTAAGGTTTTCCTCAGTTCTATCCTTCTGCCACTTTTTAAAGCACTCTTTTTTTTAAAAAGTGGCAGAAGGATAGAACTGAGGAAAACTGAGGAATGGTGTATTTTCAAAACTCGTGTATAATATTGAGGATGAAAATGAATGGAAGTTAGAGTGGGGGGAAATGCTTGATAAATATGGTACTTGTGATAATCATTGGTTGAAATTGACTTTTGAGGTGAAGGAAAAATGGGGCTAGCCATATGTTAAATCAACATGGACTGCGGAAATAAGTAGCACACAACTCAATGAATCTTTTAATCAACTTCCATTCATTTTCATCCTCAATATCATACATGAGTTTTGAAAATACATCTTTCACCCTCTTATCCTAGAAGAGACAATTAATGTGACTTAATGCATTTTGCATCAAATGTCAAGTGCACAATCTGTGACCTTGGTTGTCAAAATCCCTAATCTGGATCTTACGATCCTACGATCTTATGATCCATTTGAGTACAATCAATCTAGATCGTATAAAAAATTCATTATAGGTAGGATCTTTTGATCCTAGTAATGGGATCTAATAGGATTGTGGAATCCCGATCCGAATCCGATCCTATCCGATCCAATTTACAAACCTTGTTTTGTATTGTATGATATATTTTATTGTAAATTTTATGTTTGTTGTCTAAATGCCAATTTATGTGGTCAAAATAAAAAATAAAAATTAAGTAGTATTGAATCAAATAGACTAAGAAAAACAAACTAGGAAAACAAACATTCAAATATTGCGGTAATTTAAGAAAATTAACTAGTCGGAAAGATAAACTTAGCTTTAGCGGAGTCCAAGGAGGGTAAGATGATTGCAACTTTATCCCAATTTTTGGAGAGATTATTTTTGACTCGAATCCGCTCCACCAGGGATGCTAACGACAAACCTTATGATTCGGTTAAGCTGCTCTTTTGAGTTCTTAATCTATTTTCATATCCAACTTTGTTAAATATTTTTTCTTCGTTTTTTATGCATGATTGTAGATTTTAAAGTATTTTGTTATAGAATTCTTCTTTTTCACCTTCTTTTTTGATGAAATACAAAACTTTTACCATCGAGTTTTCTATTGTATAATATTTTATGTACATTTTACATGGAATATTATATTTTTCACAATATCTTCACTTCTTTTTAATAGAATATAGGCTCATTTTGTGTATATTTTTTAAGAAATATTTATTTAAATTAAATTAGTATGTAATTTGTCTTTTTCGATAGGATCTAACGATCCTCGATCCGATTCAACGATCCTCGATCCGATTCTACGATCCGATCCTATAAACACTTCCAACGATCCAATGTAGAATCCCGATTTTAACAACCTTGTCTGTGACTTGTGTCAAACATCACAATGGGTATGGCGTTAGCCACTGCAACATCTTGATCGGCATCCAACAAAGTTGCACCAAATACAACTATTCCTCTATGATGGTTGAATCTCACAAAAGATGCAAAGGGTCTATGTTCTTTATTTAACTTGTAAGCAGTATCAAATATAACTACATCACTGACTCGGGCATAATCTAACTGGAAAGCATTCAAAAAAGAATGGATTCTCCAAAGATTTATGTTTTAAACATTGCAACACATTACCTACCTCCCTACATGCTAAACTTTTCTTTCTTTTGGTTATCAAATAATTTTTTTGGTCTAATTTCATAAACTCCAAAGACTCCATCCCACTAGTTTCCCTATCCATGAGTTAAAAAGACTGGCCTAAAACAAAGACCAGATTGTGTAGCTTATATCTTTCTCTATGACGGTAACATGTGGGCACAATTTGGTGATACAAGTTCATGGTTGTGTTCTTTGAAATCACTCGCAACAAATTTCCTAGTAGCCACGTCCAATTTACAAAAAGTCGAGCCTTACAACCAGTCCTAGTTTCAGCTCTAGGGTTTTTTTGTCAATGGGTCTCGCTTGTCAACCTTCCAAAATCCCTCCTTGTTGCAAACAAAAACTCTAGAAATAATTTGTTTAGTAAACTTGTTCTTGTTGTTACAATAATCCCTTCTTATGCTAAACCTCATTCTTCCTCTATATGCATTATGAAAACCATACGTACTTTCTTCCGAATCAAACATCATTCCTACTTTTGGCTTCCAACCACAATCATTGTGAGGTTCCATATCAAAATGCAATTGAAAAGTAAAGGCAATGAGTTGAATTGGACTACTTAAAGCTTCTAAAATAAATGAATTTTGTGATTGAAATTTTCAAAATTGAACTAATCAAATGTCATTCCTACTTCAATTTTTTTTTTTTTTTCTCAAATGTGAGAAGCTCATCTACAGCTGAAAAGTTTTGATATAACCCACAATTAGAATTGGTTATATATATATATATATATATTTATGAAATAGAATTAACAAGTAGTTTCAATTCATCTCAACTACATTTAGGGACATAGTATCACCAATTTAAGAGGTACTGGAAGTGGGAATGGAATGGGAGAAGTAGCTAAGTGTTGAGACCTCCAAAAATATGAAGGTTAGTCTTTATCCTATTTCACTCTTACGTAGGTACCATGCAAATAATGTATATGGAAATGCAATGAAAACAATCACACAAAATTCAGGATCCATTTCTTATCTATAAGAACCACAATGGAGATAATTCTCTCTTCAACAAGAATCAAAATTGCAACTTGTTTTAGCTAGTCAAGAATATTAATCTAAAGCAACTTCAGAAGCACTTTCTTAGTCTAGATAAAAGCATTCAAATACCAGAGTCTATGAAATTACCTCTTGAATCCCGCTTTCCTTCAAATCATCTTGAAGGAGAAGATTGTGAGGGTAAGGAAGAGACCGAGAAGTCGAGAAAGGTTTTGGGGAGGATGGGGAATGATTGTTGGTTGCGAGAGGGATTGTGGGTCGCGAGAGGGAGGCGTGATTTGGGGATTTGGGGCCTCTAGGTTCAGGTACGCGAGATGGGAGGGAAACATTTTTTTAGAAATTTTTTTTTTTTTTTTTAAATCAACAGATCTCAGCCGCCCATGAGTAAGTGGGCGACGTGGCCCAATCTGGGCCGTCCCCTGCAAGAAGCACCATAGAGGATCCAAACTCTAATAATTTATTAGGCAACTCTATATGGATAGTCTGCACGAACCTTGTTAAAATAGAATAATGTAAAGATGATTAAAGCCTTGCTTATCATATACAAAACTCTCATTTAATTTTATCCTCTTCATTCCCAAGATTGTCAAATCTGATTACTAATAGTAATATGTATGAGAAGCATTAATGCTCCATTTTTTTGGGCGGAAAATATTTTTCTTTGTTTGGTAGTGATGATGGTGAAATGGAGGTGCTAGCATGGTGGTGGGGTGGCGGTGGCGGTGGTGATAGTGACGGTGATGGTGGCAGTGGCCATGGTGTGGTGGTGGAGGTGAAAGTGGCTGTGGTGGTAATGTGACATTGGCAAGACTTTAGGCCGGAAAATGTTTTCCGCCTTCTAAAAGCGGAAAACATTCTCTGCCCATATAGGCTTGTTTTCGGTTGACCGTAGAAAATATTTTCCGTTGACTTTCGTTTTCCATTGTACCAAATACCAGAAAACATTTTCCGCCCAAACAAACGGAATGTAAAATAAAAGTATACATAAACTTGTAGAATTTAGGGTTATGGATATCAGATTTTGATGTACACATTTAAGTAACAAAGGCATTTACATCATAGACTCAGACATGCTTTAGACACTTGTGTAACACATGTTTACGCTAAGACACATGAAACATATTACAAGTTTGAATAAATAAACTTGAAATCCAATGATAAAAGAAAAGAAATATGTAAATTTATACTTATTCTCCTTTAAACTTTAAAAGTTATTATTTATTTACTAAATATTCATATATGTGACATATAATAATTGTTTAATCTTTATATATGTCATGTAATAAATATATAAAATTATATATTTTGTGTGTGTTCTCCACTTACCGTGTCATACATTTCTTGAAAACTAATGTGCTGGCGTGTCAGCGTCATCTCAGTGTCGTGTCACTTGTCCGTATCCCTTCATTCTTAGGTCCATGACTGAGCCTGAGTTTGTAATTGCATAGAAACTCTTGTTTGCATGCGTGCATGTATCCTAATTTCATTTTTGGTAATGGATATAGGTTCCGGCATCTGTTCGTGTAAGGAGAGAAACTGCTATTCAGAAGTCCAAACCAAAGCCATCTCTCTCAACAGCTGTAGCAGCAGTCAAAAAGCCAGCAGTTGCTCGAACTGAGGTGAAACCAGAGTCTGTTAATTACTCATCAGCAGCGGCGCCAAAGACCCAGAGTGTTGATGACTCGTATATGGCCTTCTTAGAGGACATGAAGGCATTGGGTGCCCTAGATAGTTGAGCTGATTTTACCAAAATGAAGAGGTGCAGAGAGAAACAATTTGTACAGCTATTTTGATCAATCTGCGTTTCACTGAGTAAGAATCATTCCATGCTCATGGCCTTTAAGTCCTGTAATATTGTCTTGGAGCCTTTTAACATTGTTACAATTTTTAAACTATCTCAAATTTCGAGATGTGTAAGTTACAACTTCGGATTTTATTTTTTTATTTTTTTTTTTAACGCTTCAGTGCGGGGCAAAATATGTTAACCTACAGAAGTAGAAAATTTCTACATTGAAGTTGAAGTTTGTTTTCTCAATAGCATAGTCTTTTCTTTTTAGTGCTCCTCAACACAGTTATTCTCGGCATTTTCTTATCTGCACACCTTCCCCTCTCCTAGGTTGTGTTTGGATTTTGGATTTGTGGAGAGAGAAGAAATGGAAGAGAAAAGTTATAAAATTTATTCACTTTTTTTTTCCCCTATATATATATTTTGTGTGTGCGCATGTGAATGCTATATGAGGTGTCTTTGCTTTCAAGGCGTAATGCCAACATTCAAAATTGGGGCATTGCAGAACATGCATTGATGCGGTACAAAATGGGGACTGCAATGAAAGTGGTGAAGTGAGAGATCGTGGGGGGTGGGGATGGGGATGTGAGTGGCCATGGTGGGTAGGGATGGGCTGAGAGGTTGTGGTGGAGTGGGGGAGCAATAGGGAGAGGCGGAGATGGTCATGGGGTGAATGGTGACAGAGAAGAGCCTGGAGGGGCAGGGGTGGTGGAGCTAGCTGGTGCCGGTGCTGGTGGTTGGTGGCGGGTAGGGGTACAGTTAGGGTTGTGCAAAATATCATCAAATTTGCTAAAACTGCAATGATCTATACCAATCAACACCCATCCATTCACTAATTGAGGATTCAATTGTAAATTTTATAATCCGCTTCCAAACCGTTTTTTTTAACCTCTAATGAAATATCAAAATAAAAATGTGTGAAAGATATTTGAAATATAAAATTTGTTGCAAATTAGTAGTTATATATATGAAAATTATTATGTAAAATTAGTTTGTGTTATATATATGAAAAATATTATGTAAATTAGTGTTATATGTTATGTAAATGTTTGATAATTGTTTAAGAATATTCTTCAATCAACTAGCAAATTGAAACCGCTCCAAATTGTCCAAATGGGGGTTTGGTTATTTGTCAATCTGTCATTCACAGGTTAATTTATAATTTTACTCTCAAACGTCCAAACCACACTGCACATACCCTGGGCATACGTTAGGGTTAGGCTTTAGGAGGTTAGGAAAGGTGTAAAATTGATATTTTATGAATTGATAAAATTATAATACCAAAAAATATGAAGTGATAGAGGCCTTACAAAATATGATATTCTTCATTCATAAAGAGTGATTCAATTTATGAATTTTTTTGAATCAACCCAGAACAACCCACACACACCTTATCTACTTGTGGACACAAGAAGTGCATTTCCATTATTTTTGTGCATGTATGAATGCTTGGGGTACTTGTGCACAGATTAGTATGTGGGGTGCAATATTGGCAAGCACTGAAAACCCCAAGTACAATGGGAACTTCATTCACTAAAAACCCCAAAGGCACAGCAGCATCTCTCTGTCCCTCCCATTCCATGCCCTCTCTCCTCTCCAGGAATTAGGATACTGTTTTCATTAGCAAAAGATAAAAAGAAAATTGCAAGATCGGACACAATTTTCATATATAGTATATCATCTCATGAGTGAGACTCATTAGACAAGTACGAGTCAACTAATATGAGGGGATTGTGTCTAATATGTAATCAGACTCTGTGCACTAACATTTAATGTCATGTTGATGATTCATTTAAGCGGAAACTATATACAGGTAGGAGTTCGAAAAAAAATTACCCACACATGTAAGGGTGCAAGTGATAGCCTTTCATTTGCATCTCAACACGGACACACTTACACCCCATGTGTTTGTAATTTTTTTTTCCAACTCCCACCTATATGTAATTCTCCCTTCATTTAATCATCTAACGCATTAGCATAAAAATAATTTTTTTTAAAAATAAAAATAATTTTTTTAAAAAAATGACAATAATATTCACTCCCCCTTTGAGAGTTTATAAATAAAGATAAGTGATTTAAAAATGAAGTATAAATATCATTGTTTAAAAAAAAATAAAGACACATTTTAAGTTAAAAATTATGTTCATTTTTTTTTCTTCTAAAAGAAATTTCGGTGACAATTTCTCACTCAACTTGTAAACTAAGGCCTCGTTTGGGAACCCTCCTTTTTAGTTAAAAAGTTAAAAAGTTATTAAATTAGCCAAAAAGCTAACAACCCATACCAAAAAGTCAAAGATTCTCTTTTCTTTTTGTAAAAAGTCAAAAAGTCATTCCAAATATACTAATTTTTTTTAACTCATATTTTAGCCAAATAATTAAAAAATTACTAAATTAACCTGTTCCAAACGAGGCCTAAATCTATTAAAATAATTCTCTTTCTTATCATTTTCACCAAACCAAATCACATCAAATCACCCCATCAAACTGAGTATTAAGAGTGTCAAACTTTTCCTTACATAAACATCGGCCCTGTACAAACCCTTGAATAACTCACCCAATCAATGCCTAAACTGAGGTAAATTTTCTTTACCCATTTGACTTGTATGATTTCTTGAGCTTCACTTTTGCAAATTCTTGTATTCTCAACTAGCTGGTAATCTTGATATTGAACAGACAATAAAAAAATTAAAAAAAAAAAACTATATGCTTCGCATCCTCTGTTATCCAACTACTTTGAACCATTCAAAAGCACCCCATACCATGAAGTCCCCCCTTTCCTTTTACCCTTTAGCCAAATCTCCTTCATCTTCAATGCAGAGAATGTGACATGACAGTACACTGCATAAATATATTTAATTCATATTGAAGAACCCTATATTTAGATAAAGCTGACAGGTCTCTCATATTATAGGTTTTTATTTTATTTTAATTTAATTTAATAAATTAATGTCATTGTTGCCGTTGAATTTCCGGTGTTTTAGAGCTTCCTCTGATGCTAATTGAAGTGGTTTCCATTCATATTTGAGAACTGCCATTGCTATCATGGGCTTGTTTAAATGGTGTAATATTTGAATTTACTTTAAAAAAACATGAGGAGGCAATCAAATTCAATGTGGGCATGAGACACATGAAATTGAACCAACCAGGATCCATTCAACCTGGGTTTTCTACATTAAATGATGCTTGACTTCTTAACTACCCAATTATTATTGAAATAAAGAATTCAGGCAAAGTCAACCATGGAGGCTACCCACTTCATGCTTCAAATCTCAAATGAGAAAAAAAAAATGCCTAAAAACCCTTATGTGAGTGAGAAAGCCATAGAGAAAGACCTTTTATCTTCTGGAAGCTGAATTATTTTTTTATTTTTTGCACTAGGTAGGATGGTACTTGCAAGTTAAGTTAGATTAGATTCGAATCTGAGACCTCATATTGTGGGGCATTTTAGTGCCCTCTCAAAGACCACTCGAACTACAACCCGAGTCTCAAGCTGAGTTAGAAAAGGCCAAGGATTCATTGTCCCTGAATCTCTTTCTTCCTCTCAGGCCCGGCCCTGAGATTTTCGGGTCCAAAGTCAATAATTAATTAATAAATTTTTGGGGTCCTTCACATTTTTTTTTTCATTGAATGAAAAAAAAATGAAGATAAAAGACAAAAAATTTGTGTCAGAATCACAAAAAATATTTAGTATTACATTACAACAATTAATAAGTGTCGCTTGATTCTCGCTCTTCTTGCATTTTTAGAAGCAAATAAATCAATCATACATGCATAATCTAGTTTTTTTGCAAAATCATTTTCAATGGATAACAATGCTAATTATTTTAAATGGGCTGTTTAATTTTTTAATAGATCAATTTATTTTAAGTTAATTTGGGTCTTTCTTAATTTTTTTTTAGATTTAAAATATGCCTAATATATTACAATAACCTATAATAGGAGGACCCTTTTTTGGGTCTATTTTCAATGGATAACAATATTAATTTTTTTGAATGGATCTTTCAATTTTTTAATGGGTCAATTTATTTTAAGTTAGTTTGAACCTTTTTTATTTATTTTTTTAAACTTGAAACATACCTAATATATTATACTAAATCATAATAAAAAGGACTCTTTTTTTAAGTCTATTTTGAGGGGCTAGGCCATGGCCTTGTTGGCCCATGCCCAGGGCCAGTAGTGCTTCGTCTGTTCTCAGACACTCACAATTATTTGATCATGTGAAAATCTCGAGGCATAATCTAATAATTGTGAACGTTTTGGAATAGGGGGACGAAGGATCCCGTGGCAATTGATGGAAGAGGGGCCAATAATATAGGGAGAAAGAGATATTGAGGAGTTGGTGATGGAAAGAATGTTTCAAACCCTTTTAGTCTATAAATAATCTGTTTCAAGCCCAGAAATTTTTTAGTCTATAAATAATCTAAATTTGTCTCTTTAGTCAAATCCAAATACTATTGAAAAGTGAGGCTGTGTTTCAGTTTGGTGTTAATGGGTGGAGTTCATTTTATTATTCTCCTCTTTTGCACTTTACTGCTGCTTCTAAAACCTTCCTCTTCACTTCCTTTATGTACTGATTCAAGTAAGTTTCAGTGTTTCTTTTCTTTCCTCTCAATCATTCATGATCCATTTTTGATAACTTTCTATGCAGTTTTCAATTTGAATTTTGACTTTTTTCTTTTTCTTTTTTTTGCTTTCCCGCCTTATATGGTACAGGGGCACCCTTTACTCCAAAGGCTTCTCTATCTTTCTGTCCTTACAATGGAACTGTCTGCTGCAATTTTGCCAAAGATTTGCGTTTGCAGAAGCAATTTGAAGCTATGAACATCTCTGATCCAAGCTGTGCTTCTCTTATTAAATCAGTCCTTTGTGCGGTAAGAGTTTTAGTAATATTATGAACTCAGAAATTATCCATAATGAAATGCAAGGACGGACCAGATTTATTCTGTAGCCATATCAAGTTTGAACCTACACTAGACATTTCATTCTCTGATGCATAGTTTTTCCAGTAAGAGTTTATTTGTCCACAGATGAAGAACCAACTTGGTTCCAGTATGTTTTGCTTTAGTTTTGTTAGTGGGCTGTTTCTTTTCTTTGTGCTCTCTGTTTGAGCTCTTTGTGTTGTTGTTTGGCTTTGTATAGCTTTTGTTAGGTCCTGGGGCATGCCCCTTGCTGTTGTGTATCCTTGTTTTTTATTTATGACTTATTCACCCAAGAAAAAAAAGAAAGAACCAAGTTGCTTACTGTTGTTTTAAGTCCTTGACCCCTGAATCGATTCGGTGCTTGATGGTGATGTATTTTTCTCTTTTAGGGCTTAAGAATTCTAGTACATATAAAAAGTAGGTAATTACAGTTGATAAAATTGTGCCATTAAATACATGCTTGCTCATTCACAATTCAATGTTTCATATAATCCTTTTGATTTTTTTGCTAACACACCAACAGACTAAGAAATTTTATTACCTTGTGAAGGATTCTCACAACTAACATCTTTGTAGTTGATGAACTAGGATCTTTTTTTTCCTCAAATTTCTTTTAAGGATTGTAGTGTGTAGATCAATAGAAATTTTGTAAACTTCAAACCTTCTTCATATATAATTCTTTACTTTTTTCATGTCACTTTAATTTCTAACCAAAGCCAAAGTTGATTTAATATGAATGTGAATTCTATGCATAGCTTAACATTTATTATATACTAAAATGATCTCCCTTTAGAACATTAGCTTTTATTTCATCCATTCAACAATTTTTTTTTACCATATGTTAATTTTGGTGTTGTGCTGATTTGTAGAGATGTGATCAATTCTCAGCAGAGCTATTTAGAGTCAATTCTATTCCTCGTCCAGTCCCTGTACTCTGCAACTCTACCGTTACAGTAAATTCCTCCCAAACTATCCAAGCCAGCGATAACTTTTGTGCAAAAGTATGGGATACGTGTCAAAATGCCTCTGTAATGAATTCACCCTTTGCCCCTTCATTACAAGGCCAAGCTGGACAACCGATAACTTCCAATTTTACCAAACTAACAGACTTTTGGCAGTCAAAAGCCGATTTTTGCACTGCGTTTGGTGGAGCTTCTGTAGATGAATCAGTATGTTTTGATGGAGGACCAGTTAAATTAAATAACACGGGAACTCCAAGTCCTCCAAGTGGTATGTGTCTTGAGAAAATAGGTAACGGTTCTTACCTCAATATGGTTCCTCATCCTGACGGGTCTGCTCGTGCATTTTTTTCCAACCAACCGGGCAAAATTTGGTTGGCGACAATTCCTAAAGACGGGTCTGGTGGAACGCTGGAGTTCGATGAATCAAATCCCTTTCTAGATCTAACGGATGAGGTTCATTATGACACAGAACTTGGGATGATGGGCATTGCATTTCATCCAAACTTTGCACAAAATGGTCGTTTCTTTGCTTCTTTCAATTGTGATAAGGCTAAGTGGCCTGGATGTGCGGGTAGATGTTCCTGTAATTCAGATGTGAACTGTGATCCTTCGAAGTTAGGTCCTGATAATGGTGCTCAACCATGCCAATATCAAGCTGTTGTTGCAGAGTTTACTGTTAATGGTACCGCATCACAGCCTTCCTTGGTACATATCAATACACATGAATTATTTTTTATTATTATTTTTCGCTTAATGATTAGTATTGAATCTAGATCATCTTCCAGGCAACAAGTGCTAAACCATTGGAAGTGAGTAGGATATTTACAATGGGCCTTCCATTTACCACTCATCATGGGGGACAGATTCTTTTTGGGCCCACGGACGGGTACTTATACTTGATGATGGGTGATGGCGGTACAGGTGATCCTTACAATTTTTCCCAAAACAAGAAATCATTGCTCGGAAAGATTATGAGGCTTGATGTTGATAACATTCCAAGTAGGTATTAGCACGAAATTTTTCATGTATATGGTTAATTCTTGACATCTAATAATTATTCTTCACATTTATTGGAAATCTTTCTTTGGGGGATTTGTTTTCATCATTCCTGTCCTTTTCGCTTCTAATCTATCTTCTCTACTTTAGTCAGTGCTAGTTACTAGTGTTTCACTTTGAAATGTATTCTCCAGAAGCCTGACTTTGATCAACCAAAAATTTTGATTTTATAAAGTTAGAATTTTACTAACCTGCAATTAGTAGCTTTACCACTATTCAGACTACACTCATAATGTGGCAATTCAAGTCGATGGGTTATTAAATCAAGAAAAAAAAATCTACCTGCTGTTGGAGTAGGCTTTTTATTTATTTATGTTTCAAGTATTTGTGGATCATTATTATGAAACAAACATATATTCCTGAAACATATTTCCCCTGGCATTTCCATCTTATTTCCTTGAAAGTGGCATCCAAACAAACTGAGAATGATGCCACGGTATATTGAAGACGTGTATAATTGTTTATTTTCTGTACCCATTTATTTCAAAGCACAATCACTTGACATTGTGAACACCAATTCCAGAATCTCATATTCATAAACATTAAACACAATCCTAGTTTTTAAGTACATAATGGTCAAAAAGGGCTGACGACTAAAAAAGAAGGATTAAACTGATATTCTCGTAAAACAGAATTCATGTGAAACTTGGTAAAATTTGTCCTTTTTTGGATTTTTATTTTTATTTTTTATTCTTTTCTTTGTCTCTCAAAGTGCATGGCCTATATATACTAACGGAAGTTTAACTCGGTATATCACAGTTAAGGTTTTTGGTTGCAACTCTCTCTTCATGCTTCCACTTGTTTCAATTATGATTCTGTCATTCTTTCATGCCTCCATCAACGATAAGAAGGGAAAAACTTTTGTAAACTACAGAGAAGATTATCACTCCCCTTTCCCCCTGGAGGAAACCGGACACAAATACATTAAGAAGCTGTTTAACTTGTTTCATTCATTCTTTTTTTCCTATTTTTTGGCAGTTTTTTAATCACTCTTGTGGCTTGTCATGCATGTCCAGGTGACGCAGAAATTAGTCAGCTCAGCCTGTGGGGAAACTACTCTATCCCCAAGGATAACCCATACACCAAAGACAAAGAATTGCGTCCTGAAATATGGGCATTGGGGTTAAGAAATCCTTGGCGATGCAGTTTTGATTTAGAAAGACCTCCTTATTTTATGTGCGCGGATGTTGGGGAGGTATTATAGTTTTCTATTTCTAAGACATTTGGAATTTTGGTTTATGCTATCACTTTTATATAAGTCAAACTGGTACAATTACCAAGGGGGACTAGGCCCCCCTCTGCCCTCTTTTTTACTCGGATCCTACTTTCTTTAGAATCATTTTTTTTTTTTTTTCAATTTTTAGATATGTAAGTTCTTAGGTAACTGTCTTTAATCATAAACCCCATCAATTATGGTTGATGTATCTGTATTATGTTTCCAACCTTTTTGTTTAAATGCCTTGCAAATCACAAAAAATTGACTCAGATTCTGTCAGACCTATGTGTCTGATAACCCCAATTAGCATATGCTTTCGTTTTCTGAATTGATGCTGTGTTTGACTCATACAATGATTATAATCCCATTAGGATCGATATGAGGAAGTGGATATCATAACCAAAGATGGAAACTACGGCTGGCGTGCTTACGAGGGCCCCTATCTTTACACTCCTCCACAGTCGCCCGGAGGGAATACATCGCTAAATTCCATAAGGCCAATTCCCCCAGTAATGGGATACAATCACTCTGATGTAAACAAGAACGATGGATCAGCCTCAATCACGGGAGGCTATTTCTATCGCTCAATGACTGATCCATGCATGTATGGCAGGTGAGCAAGCTTTCTTCAATTTAGTCCGACAATAAAAGAAAGGCGACTCAGTGCACGAAACACAATTATAGTGGGGTTTGAGCCTCGCTTACATTTTAACTGATTTTGTTTCAGGTACTTATATGCAGATCTGTATGCGAGTGCCATATGGGCAGGCACTGAAAACCCTGAAAATAGTGGGAATTTCACCACAAGCTTTATTTCTTTTAGTTGTGCTCGGGACTCACCTATACAGTGTAGCCTTGTGCCCGGAAGTTCACTTCCTGCTCTTGGTTACATCTATTCATTTGGGGAGGACAATAGCAAGGACATTTTCATATTAGCAAGCAGCGGTGTGTATAGAGTAGTCCGTCCCAGTCGCTGCAATTTTACTTGTGCAAAGGAAAATGTTAACGCTGTTGTGAGCCCAAGTCCTGGTTCTTTCCCTTCCCCCTCTTCGCAAACAAGCCGATTTGGTCCATATAAGAACACAGTGATCCTTTGCTCTTCTATTCTGTTGATTTTGTTGGGTTTAATTTAGTACTAGTATGCTGTGAATGTGATATATAGAGAACAAAATGCGCATTTATGTCAGATTATTGGATAATTAGACTCTTCTCTTTCGTTGTTTTGGTTTTTAGTAAAAAGGCAAAAGAATTGTTCGCTCTGTTCAATGCGCATTTATGTCAGTTTGCCAAACAAACTTGCAACTAGCTCTTTATCAGATATAAGTCATTGAGTACAGTCCTGTCCTGAGCTCCATTGAAGCAATATTCTATTATCTGTTTGTGTATGGAGAATTTTATTGGTTATGTGCATGAAGAGTCTTTAATGAATTAATAAGTTTAACTCAAACTAAACTTTTGAGAAACATGCATGATTTAGAGAGAAATGGAGTTCCTACTTTCAGAATGTTTGCAATTGTATGATAGTAAATTTAAGAATCAGAGCACATGTTTGAATCTTAATGGAACTCAAGCTGCCCGGTTTATGTTTTGTAAACTAGAAGTCTCCACAAATCGACTTCCCCAATATATATCGAGATGTGGGTAAGCCTCATCATTTGACCCGAAGGCTTGCAGCCCGGCCCGAGCCTGTACCCTAGGCTCTCCCTGAGTGAGATTGGACTTGGATCTAGGCCTTGGGTTTGAAGTTCAATCTAACCCGACTGCCCATAGACCCAACCCATTTGGCTCGAAGGCTTGCAGTCCGGCTCGAGCCTGTACCCTAGGCTCTCCCTGAGTGAGATTGGACTTGGATCTAGGCCTTGGGTTTGAAGTTCAATCTAACCTGACTGTCCGCAGACCCAACCCATTGGGTCACCTGCTGGGCCGGCTCGCAAGCCTATTAGATATTATGAACAAAAAGGGAAAAATGACAAAAGAAACCAAAAAATATGATTTAAATCTTGGCTCATTGGGCTAAGAGCATCTCCAATGGATGGCCAAATCAGCTGCCAAAGCCATAAAATGGCAGCTTGGGCAAAAATGGCCTTCTCCAATGGAATGCTATATCAGTTGCCAAATTTGGCAGCTGCCAAATCAAGTGCCAAACTTGGCAACTACTTTGGCAGCTGCCAAATCCTGCCAAGTCACCCAAAATGAACAAATCAGATTTTTCAAATATTGAACAAGAATGAACAAAACTGTTTTCTTTCTCAGATTTCTCAAAATATTGTAATGAAATTTAATGATATATATTGTAATGAAATTTGTAATGAACAAAACAAAACAGATTCAATTAATGAGATTCAAAACAGATTCATATATTGTAATGAACAAAACAAATCAGATTTCTCAAAATATTGTGATGAAATTTCTCAGATTTCTCATACCAGAATTCAAAACAGATTTCTCATACAAGATTTCTCATAACAGATTTCTCATAACAGATTTCTCAGATTTCTCAAAACAAAACAAATTTCTCAGATTTCTCATACCAGAATTCAAAACAGATTTCTCATACAAGATTTCTCATAACAGATTTCTCAGATTTCTCAAAACAAAACAAATTTCTCAGATTTCTCATACCAGATTTCAATTAACAAAACAGATTTCATACCAGAATTCATCAATATTCAATATTCAATACCAGAATTCATCAAAAAACAGATTCAATATTAATGATAAAAAATCTGATTTGAACAAAACAGATTTCATACCAGAATTTGATCCAAAGCTGCAGTGGCATCCGAAGCTACCAGAATTCATACCAGATTTCATACCAGAATTTGAACAAAACAGATTTCATACCAGAACAAAACAGTGGCATCCGAAACTGCAGTTTATCCGATCTGATCCGAAACTGAAGTTTATCCGAAGCTCTGATCTTCACTCAGATCTTCACTCTGATCCGAAGCTCTCTCTCTCCGCAGCTCTCTCTCCCTCTGATCTCCCTCTGATGTGCAAAACTTTCCTAACTTTATTGATTAAAACTCTGATCCGAAGCTCTCTCTCTCCGCAGCTCTCTCTCCCTCTGATCTCCCTCTGATGTGCAAAACTTTCCTAACTTTATTGATTAAAACTCTGATCCGAAGCTCTCTCTCTCCGCAGCTCTCTCTCCCTCTGATCTCCCTCTGATGTGCAAAACTTTCCTAACTTTATTGATTAAAACTCTGATCCGAAGCTCTCTCTCTCCGCAGCTCTCTCTCCCTCTGATCTCCCTCTGATGTGCAAAACTTTCCTAACTTTATTGATTAAAACTCTGATCCGAAGCTCTCTCTCTCCGCAGCTCTCTCTCCCTCTGATCTCCCTCTGATGTGCAAAACTTTCCTAACTTTATTGATTAAAACTCTGATCCGAAGCTCTCTCTCTCCGCAGCTCTCTCTCCCTCTGATCTCCCTCAAGAAACATTTTGCTTTTGAACATTGTTGGTCAATCTTGCAAAATAATATCAGGTGGCAAGATGTAACTCCTACGAATACGGTGAAGTCAAGGATACATACACCATTTTCCCCTGATTCAGCCCCCGATTCCCCTATGGATAATTGCATTTCTCTTGAAGATGACACCAGTCCAAGTGTTGGTAACAATCCAATTGTTGGTGAGGGTAGTGTCGGTAAAAGGCCGATGGGTAGGAAATCTGCAAAAGAATTATTTCGGAAAAATCAAGTCGCTCAAGCTGAAGTTCAAAATATGAGCACACAATTGGACACATTTAACCAATACCTTGCTGAGAAGGAAAAGAAAAAAGATGAAAGAGAAGAAAAAAGGATTCAAGCACTGCAGGAGATGAAAGAACTTGAGATGAAAAAACACGACTTCGAGATCAGAAGACAAGAACATGAGATGAAAAAAGAAGAACATATGATAATGACTACAGACATTTCTCATTTGGACCCTCAGATGAAAGCATATTACACAATGCGAAAAAATGAGATTTTTGCCAAGTGGTCCTCAAATGTGAGCAGTCCAAATTTTTATTTCCCCCTACCTCCTGATGAATAATTACGGGATAAATGTTAGTCTTTATTTTTTGCAATATCATTTATTTTTTGATGTAATTGTTAGTCTTTATTTGCAATGTAATTTTTATTTTATAATGAAATTTCATGTTATTTTAAGAAACATTGTTGAGTCTTTTGTACTTCACATTTAAACATTTAAACATTTTTTTTAACAATTTTTTATTATTTTTTATTTTTTATATTTGTCTAGTTGGGAATAATATAAATATATAATTTTTTTAACAAACAGATAAAAAAAGGTAACAAAAGACAAAAAATAAATAAAAATAAAATCACAAAAAATCAATATCCAAACAACCCTACAAAGTTGGAGGGAAAGTTGGTTGAGATTTGCCAAAAATAGCAAATGATCATTGGAGCACTATTGCTATAATTTGGCAAAATAACACTATTCATTGTCAAATTATAACAATAGCAACCCCAATATAGCAACAACCATTGGAGATGCTCTAAGCTTGCTAGTTTGGCACGTTGGCTTGTAAGAGCATCTCCAATTGATGGCTAAATCAGCTGCCAAAGCCATAATATGGCAGCTTGGACAATCTTGGCTTCTCCAATGGCATGCTATAACAGTTGCCAAATTTGGCAACTGCCAAATCAAGTGCCAAATTTGGCAGCTACTTTGGCAGCTGCCAAATCTGCCAAGTCACCCAAAATTAAATTGTTTTCTTTCTTCCCTCCTTCCCTTTCAGTTGGGATTTTCTAGAATGCATGAAGTTTATAAAAATATTGAACAAGAATGAACAAGAATTCATCAATATTCCAGAATTCATCAACATTCAGCAAATTCATACCAAAAACTGATTTAAAAAATTTCATCAAATTCATACCAGAATTCATAAATAATTTCAGGAAGCCCCTAGTTCACCTTTCCATATCAAAATTTCAGAATTCATAAATAATTTCATACCAAATAATCCAAAGAAAAATACCAAATTTCAGAATTCATCAATATTCCAAATAATTTCAGAATTAAAATAATCCATTATAATCTCAAATTATCCGAAGAAAAATACTTGGATTTGATGGGGGCTGCGGCTTCCATTGATCCGAAGATGATATGAAATTCTGAAGAGGATGATCCGAAGAGGATCGATCTGAAGAAATTCTGGATTCGATCCAAATTTCATACCAGGTATTTTTCGAGGTATTTCTTCCGGGGCTACGGCTTCCATTTTTCGATGTATTTTTCTTCAGATTGATCCAAATTTCATACCAGGTATTTTTCTTCAGATCGAAAAGGGTTGAAGGTGAGGGTTGAAAGGGTTGGAGAAGAGGGTTGAAGAGAGAGAGAGAGAGTGAGCTTCGGATGAGAGAAGATGGGGGATGATCATTGATCCGAAGATGAAGTGGAAGATCATTGATCCAAAGATAAAGTGGAAGAGGAGGAGATGCTGATCCGAAGCTGATCTGAAGAGGATGATCCGAAGCAGAGATCCGAAGCTCTCTCCCTCTGATCTTCACTCATCCGAAGTTTGTTTCGAAGCTATGCTCTCTCTCTCTCTCTGAAGTTTCGAAGTTGTGCTCTATCCCATTGATCTGGAAACTTTCAATTATGGAAATTTGTGAAATCATCCGAAGTGTGCTCTATCCCATTGATCTCAGCCGTTGATTAATAATAATTCAACGACTGAGATCCAAGTGTGCTACTTTATTCATTAAATAAAATAAAAATCAAATAAAAACATAACTGAAACATAACTACAACAGTCCTTTTTTATGTTAAAACGGTTATAAAAAAATGGCTCTTTTTTTTTTCTATAAATACAAACCTTCATTGCTCTCTTTTTCAATTTTTCATTTTTTTTATTTTTTATATTTGTCTAGTTGGGAATAATATAAATATATAATTTTTTTAACAAACAGGCAAAAAAATGTCACAAAAGATTAAAAAAAAAAACAAAAAAAAAATCACAAAAAACCTATATCCAAACAACACCTACAAAGTTGGAGGGAAAGTTGGTTGAGATTTGCCAAAAATAGCAAATGACCATTGGAGCACCATTGTTATAATTTGACAAACTAACACTATTTATTGTCAAATTATAGCAATAGCAACCCCAATATAGCAACAACCATTAGAGATGCTCTAAGAGGTGGCCTGGTCGCCCATCATTGCTCAATTCGTGAACCTATCTGGTCCAAGCCTGTTAAGTAGGGTTTGGGCCTAAAGTTTTAGTCCATGAGTTGGCCCAACCTAAAGCCTGCCCAAAAAAATAAAAAAATAAAACTGAACTTAGCCCGCGGGGGAGCTTGAGCT